CAACACAAGATGCCAATGGAGATCCAATTAGATTCCATACCGACGTCAGTGAGGCAAGAGTACCACCTCCGGCTAGCACGTCGGCTTTGCAGTTGTTAGCGATTCCGCTTTGTCCAGTCCTATAAACGAGTCTGATATTGAAGTAGCTTGACAGTTCAGTTAGCGTGCTCAGCGCTGGTATCGCCGCTAATTTGTGGGAATTCCCACTTTGGTGGCAGTTCCCAGCTTTTTGACCATGAAACTCTTCCACAGCAATATAAGTTAACCGATGACTTCTTTATTCTCTGCTCCAAATTTGGCCTCTATGAAAGGCAACTCTCAAAAATAAGCCTTAAGTCTTCCACCTTATCAACAGGTTGAAGACGTGAGTCTCCTAAAGAGGAGAGAGGCACTATCAACTATCTTTTCGTATTAAGTCTCATATAACTCTTTTCAGGGTCTGAAGGAGTTGCTTTCTTTGCTTTCTTTACTGGCGTAGACAACGCTACGCGGTTATAGCTGAGTTAACAACATCGCGTCAGTCGAATTGCTGGATCACGAAATTCACAGGTTCTTTGTATACAAAAAGACAACTGGGTATTTAGATCAACTTCAGTATCTTATGAAGGTTGAGTGTCGAAAATCGTAGTTCAAGGTCAATATAAGATCCTTGAATGTCCTAACTTGGTTTGCATAATTTCAATACTGGCTTCGGTTAGTAGACTTCGGCCTCACTAATCGGGTCTGCAGCGGTCCTGGTAGTAATGTATGCATTAATATATGGTTGTATAAAAATGCAACCCACATTGCGCACACAATAAATACTCATCAAATTGAAATCAAGTAAATGCACGCAAAATACAATGGCACTCAGCAAGGCCATCGAATGGCGGAAAAAGACAGCAGCGAAAAGCTCTTAAGTAGAGAAAATCATTCACGTTACTAAAGAGAAAAAATCAGAATTGATGATTATTGCTTTTTGACAGCGCAACAAAACCAGAAAACAAAAACAGCAACACAAATTGTCAAGAAATAGACGGAGCGACAGTCTGCCGAAACAGCTGGCCAGGCATACAATTATGACTGCACACACCAAGGTGTGCGTGTCTACAATAAACGTGAAGGACAATAAAAACCTACAACAAGCCACACGCACACACACACATACTTAGATGTGTTTTTGATTGTGTGCGTGGCTTTAGCGGCGACCATTTGAAGACGTTGGGCAACTCTGGCGACCTATGCCAGCATAAAACTGCCAACAGCTGCGAACGTTAAATGCCCCAAGGAGGCGCAAAAACAACAAATAATTACAACACATACGACTATATTGAATCTGTGTAATGATGTAACACATATATGCGTATGTGTGTGTGTGTATTGCTGGCGAAAAAACATTGTTAGGTCGGAGTATCAATAAAATACCATAGAAAAATATTTATGAACATGTTAGTGTAAGTGCAAAATAATAGCGTCAAGCACAAAGAACACGTATGGCAAGCGGCGCACAGGACAAAAAACAATAATAAAAGAAATATATTTTCTGTGTACATGTGACAATAATAAAACTAGCAAGATTTTAACGGTAAAGTATGGGTATTTCGTAGTAAAAGTAAGTAAAGGAAATCAGTATGCGACAATGTGGTGAAGATGTTGTAAATACATATATACTCGCATACATACCATATGTACATTTTGCTACGTGAATGCGCTATTGAAAGTGCGAGAGCGTATGAGCGTGTGTGCGCGTATGCTGCGCAGACATCAGCGCCAATGTCGCGTAGCAATTCGGCAATAATGCACTCGACACTTTTATTTCTTTTTTATTTGACTTCGCGGCAGTTCACTCGCCTAATGTGGCAGCGGTTTGAGGGAGGGTGGCAATGGCGAGCAATAAAAATGTACAACAAAGCGACAAGTGTGAAACAGTGATGCAGAAAACTTCATGCAAGAAAGTAAAATGCTTAAGACTACGGTAAAAAGCAAGAAATGTGAAACAATGAAACATAATATTATGGAACGATATGGAATTCGCTGAAAAAAGGTAAAATTATTATGTTTTGTTGAACCTATAACATTTTCTTTAAATATGGTAAATTAAATATCACAAGGAACGAAATGGAACTGAAACGAACTCAAGTGAAACAAAACCTGATTAGTCTACTAAAGTCAAACTTTTCGAACTGGATGTAGAATACATGATAGGAACGAAATGGAATTGGAACACACAAAATGAAAATTTTATTGAATATATTGCAAGATAGAGGATGATTGTCAATCTCAAAATTTAAGAAAATATTTCTTATTGTAAGGAATGAAACGGAACTCGGCAAATGCTAAACAAAACTGAAGTGGTACTGGAACAGTTTTGGAACAAATTTGAGTCTTATCACTGTTAACTTAATGGAAACTTTTACATTAAAAAGCAAATAAAATATAAAATATTTGAATGAATGGGAATTGGAACTAAATATTAATATGTAACTCCTTGCAGCGGTATATAAACGTTGTGATGTATGAAAATTAAAAACAAATCAATTGAAATTAAAAAATATGGATATTTTTTAACATTTTAGACACATTTTTTGCAATTAGGAACGATTTGGAATTGGAATATGGAACATGAAACTTGAATAAAATTCAATGTTTTCGGAAAATTTACGGTTTTAAATAGTTCATGACATAAGTTTTTTAACTATTTAAGTTTTAAATAGTTCATAGCATAAATAGAATAATTAATTGTGAATGGAAAAAATGAGAATTGTAACGATTTGGAATATGAAACTTAAAAAAACTCAAGTTAAATTAATAAATAAGGTTATTTTTAATATCTTATACGTTTTTTGCAGTTAGGAACGATTCGGAATTGGAACATGACACGTGGAATTTGACCCCGAAAGAAATTCTAGGGTTTAGGAAAAATATACGGTTTTAAATAGCTTTTAATAAATGGAACATATTGGAATTGGAACACAAATAAAGTTCCTCTTTTAGTTTTTAAAAGAGCTGATCTGAAGTACCAGCGTACAACTGACATATCTTTACCACTACACATATAAATATAGTTTGCGTTGCTTACATTTCAGAACAGCTAACCACTCCCGCTCAATTATGACAATTTATATAGCATACATGCAGGCGCACATGAGAATTACATACAAAAACATAAGTGGTCCAGTAACTACAACTACCGCTGTCAAGCTAAAATTTTCCTCGTGCCTTTTGATTACTGTTTATGCCCATGCTTGGTCGGCTCTGCTACGTGTATGTTTGTGTTTGTGCGTCATTGGCATGCTCTGAGACTGTCCATTACCGGCCTATTGCAAAAATCTATAAATTCGAGGATTTGGCGAACATTTTTATTTGTTAGCAATCAGTGTCGCTTTTGCTCGCTGCACCGTAACATGATACTTGCGGTTTTTGCGCTCTCTTTTTTTCGGTTCTTTATGGCAAACTAGCAGGAAGCGCAAATTGCCAAAAGTAAATATGATTGCCATAATTTCTAATAATTTCTATGATTATTATTGCTGCACCCACTCCCAGCAGGCTACATAAATTGAAAGGCATTTGAGGCCAATAGTTTGCAATTAGTATGATAGGTACACTAAACTATGGTCAAGCATAAATGGAATTTTATGTTTTCGCTCGTGTAATGATTTGTGGTAACGGTACTTAATATCATTTAATATTTTCGTATGAATTTATGCTTTTCAAGGGAATGAGTATTGGTTACAAATATAAAAGATTTGAGACCTAATCATCATGAAGCACGAGGAGAATGCATTGCCTTTGGAAGAAACTCTGGGACTAAAGAAGACTAATTATGAAATATATTTTATGGAAAAAATATCGAAAATACTCTATCCTCAACTCGGAAAAACGTAGTGGCCGCTAAATACTATATGGTTTCCTAAGAAGCACTTACATGGAAATCAAACAGACATACAATTTTCTCTTAGGAAACCTATTTTGAAGATACTTTATTCATGTTAACGCCTCAGAGCAGCCGGTTTTCGAATATCTCTTACTTGTAGTGTATACGAAAAGCTCGTTTCCAAGATCCCACTGTTTTGGTATTTTCTTAGACAGACCGCTTTGCATAAACTATAAACAGACGTATCCTTTGAAGATATCCTTTTATCAAAGTTTCCTATGACACAACCACTTTTCTTCGCATTACCCGTTAAAAACCACGGGATCTCTCCTTAAGAAAACTTTTTTCTAAGATCTCTCAGAGACTTCAGATTTCCTTTTATTCTTATTCCTCTTTTCAGCAGAAAACTTTTTTGGGGATCGTTTAGTCAAATCGCCTAACCTTAGGAAATCCCATTTTTTGAATTTAATTGAGACTTTCAGGCATTTTTTTTTTAAAAAGTAGTTGCTCAGAATTTTTTTCAACATTTAGGCATACATTTGTAACAAGATATCTCAATTAGGAAGCATCTTATTCTCTTGAATTCCTCATTTCATAGTGCCATGCAATGTTATGTCTTTTTTTTAAAGGAAAACTTTTCGAAGATCATTTAATCAAACCGTTTAATTATATTTAGTCCCATTTTCTGAATTTAATGGACGTCATCTTTTTTGACTAATCTTTTGCGAAATTCCGACAATTCTCTATGCTTTTCGTCTAAACATTGCTTCTCTTTGAATCATTTAAGGACACAAGATTCCTATAGTACTACCAGTTTGAGCTCCAAATGTTAGTCGTCATTTAAGTTAGTTTTCTTACAGCCGGCTCTCTTTATTATTGGTCGTCTTAAGCCGCACTTAAGCTTTCCAAACACTCAATATTCTTCTGCGCACCTTCTTACTCTCCATATGAATTCGTCACGTGATGCTGGGCATTATACAGCTGGCGGAAATAAGCACATACTTTAAAAATGATCAAGCTTACCGATAAAATTTACTGCTATCGAAGGAATGTGGACTCAGAAAATTATGCGCACTAGATAAGAGTAAATTTTATTTGTTTATGTATATATAGTAACTATCAAATCTACTTGAATGGACACATTTTCTCTTGTTTAATATAATTATTATCGTAGAATTAGTTTATCTTGCCCAATGAAGTTGATAGGCTTCTGTCCTTCGTGCTGATCGGATTTACTACCTACAGCGATTTTATGCGGCAATGCATAGCGCAGCTTTTGCCAAAAATGCGAATCGTTGAAGTTCAGATACGTGTTCATTTTCAAATAGGCCTGCAGCTCCTTATCCAATTGCTTTACATTCGTAAGCTCGCCATATTTTATGATAATAATGCGCGCGCGTCGCTCATTTAAAGCGCTCTGATGCGCCATGCGAAACTCCATGCGCGCCCAATCCGATGCGATGAAATCATCTGACAGCACAATGATTGTGCGGCGTGACTGCTCCACCGATTCAATAATCTGCTCGGGTATAAAAGCGCCAGCTAACCAGTTGCGTTCGTGTGTACAAATGCGATATGGTGGATCGCCCTGCTCAAGCTCCGGCAGCAATATATGATTGACATAATGTTGTTGTTGATGCGAGTATGATATAAAAGCATCAAACGTTTTATCACTATCCAGTGTCTCAACTGTAATACAACACTGACATATGTGATGCGCATATAGCCAAATCTTTATTTGTAATTTGTATTTGTAGTAAAGCGCAATGGCGCTAATGAGCATAGTAATAACAAGCGTAAGCACTAACGCTAACTGAAAAATCTTGGCATGCGACTTGTTGACGTGGCAAATATCGGTAAAAATGACATCAGTAAGTGTAACATTTGGTAGGTTGGCGCAAAGCGCTGCGTCGGCGTCAAGTATGCGTTTTCGTTGCGCGCGCACAACGCGCAAGAGCAGCTCAGCACCACAATCGCAAATCCAAGGATTGCCTGAGATATAGAGTTCTTCTAAAGTTGTACTTGCCGTTACATAACTGAATAAAAAATTATTGCTCAAGCGCTCCAATTTATTAGCGCGCACATCCAGTAATGTCAAGTTAGGCGGCAGCCGCTTTGAATGTATGCTGGTCAGCTTATTATAAGCGGCATGCAAGCGCGTTACTTGTGCATAGCCAAAGCTTGTGTTCAACGGCAGTTCGTATAATGTATTATTGTTGATGTTTAATGTTGTACTAGTGCGGCTCACCTGTTCTGGGCGCGGTATGCTTGGTAACTGCGAAAGCTGCGCTTCAGTACAATTAACTAAGAGCGCGTTAGTATCATAACTACAAGCGCACTTGACTGGACACGTAACAGGTGACCAATTGCAGAGCGCGCTATCATTAAGCGCACTTAGCGCACGCGTGGACAAGTGTTGTGGGTATGTGCAGCGCCAATCACTAATATCAAATCGAAAAGCGTTTTTTATTAACAACGCCAACTGACAGTCACAATGTAACGGATTATTGGCGAGAAGCCATTTCCGCCGGCAGCGCACCAAATTTACACCCGGATGCTTCAAAAACGTTACATGCTTGATGTTGTTGTGCGACAGATCGTAAGTGTAGTAGCAATCTTTAATGTATTCAAACCAATCGAAGCTGAGCACGCTGATGTTATTGTGACTTAAATTAACATGTAAGTTTAAAGCGGAATAGTAGCTAAAGCGCGTGTGAATCGGACGCGTTAAAATCGTTTTATTTGCATACGCACCCGTGCCGCGTACCGTGCTCAATTGATTGTAGCTCAAATCGAATTCGCGCAAATTGAAAAAATTCAAAGAATGTTCAATAACATTGTTGGGCACGCTGAATTCATTGTGTGCCAAGAGTAAGACCTCTAAATTCTCTTGCCTCTTAAAAAAGTTGTGCGGCAGCATTTTGAGTTTATTGTAACTCAAATCTAACGACTTTAATTTATATTGCACCGACAACAAGTCAGCGGGTAGCGTCTCCAGCGCATTCATGGACAAGTTTAAATGTTCTAAACTGTATACTGGCCTAAAAATATCTGCAGCAAGCGTGCGCAAGCGATTCTCATCCAAGCGCAAAATTTTCAGTTTTTTTAAATCGTGGAAATGCGCTGCTGTCAATTGCGACGTTGCGCCGCTGATGTGAAAGCGCAGCGTCTCTAACGTGTCTAATGTAAGCAACAAGTCGTCGGGAATTATATTGGCTTTACCTGTGCAATCGGCTGTCAAGTCCAGCTCCTTAAGTTGATCCAAATCGAGTAGTAGCTGCGCGATTAGTGCACCACTGCTAGCATTTTCGCTTATATGGTTCAGTTCCCATAAATTGTGCGAATTTTGAAAATAAATATCGTCTACTGCTGCAGCAGCACTAAGTTTATCGTGCACTACTGTGCCATAATAGCTGAGTTTCTTCTGTCGCAGCGCTTCTGGCGTTTGCAGACAATTTTCCATTGTAAACTCAGCTTCTTTAACATAACTTTTTATCACTGGTACAATTATGCGTGGCACGAACATGTTGTTGTATTTTGTGCGTGTTGTTAATGTACATTGATTTGCAGGCGCTGCAAATTCTATGCGGCGTACGCCTATAAATTGTAGACCACTATCGTTACAATCCTTTAGCTGACACGTCACTGCAGTTGCATTGCACGCACACCCTCCAATATCACAATATGTATCGAAATCTCTTCCATTGATGGTTTTCGAGTTGGTTGTTTTTGTAAGTGGCTGCGTTTGTTGAAAAAATAGCAGCGCCATATAAAAAATGACAGTACGTTTGTGAACGCCGAGCATCATGGCCTATGTCTAGAAAAGAATTAAAGGAAATATGATTAGAATGCAAAAAAAAAACAGATATTTTTCAAAGAGGCATAAGACAAAAATACATAATTTGCTACAGAGCAAAACAGCAGGCCAATTCAAAAATCACGGCTTTACATATAAATGAAGCTACTAGCGTTAAATCCATATAATATTTAGGGCTGAACTTCAAAAGACGCATTTATAAGTTGTCGGATCATTAATTTGTGAATTATATCATTTTGAGTGAAGCTTTTTATTGTCATTGTGCAGATTCACGTGTTGATAAAATATTAGTTACTGAAACACTAGCTAAACTCCATTTCTTGCTCGTTTGTTATTGCTACTGAAAAATACAGTGTTTAGCGGTGACAACTACCTATGGTGGAAGTCTTGACTATGTACAGCTAAGTTTTCAACGATCAAAGAAGATTTTTTAGATATAGTTTATACTCACCTACTAATTCACAAAAATGTCAATAAATTCATAATAATATTAAATCACTAAATTTCGCTGCGAAATCCACTTATCGGTAAGCGACAACTGCGTCGCTTAACAACGCCACGTTTAGCGTAGACACATACCATGCGCGGAAAAGCCTATATATTGCTTTTAATATTAAGGTTTAGCTTACCTTTGATTATTAAAACTAGTTAAAAATTAGTAAGAAAAGTAAATATCGCTTTGAGAGCTTTCAATCGGCTTTCAATCGGCTTAAAATAGGCTTTGAAGCTTAAAAAAATCATAAAGTCATCACCAAATAACTGCCTTTAAAATATTCTCAAGCATATAAGTATCTGGTCATTGGAAAAAAACTCAGCTTAACAAAATAAAACGCACTCTTTTGGAAAAATTCGTTTTTTATTATTCCACATAGTTCTTTTCATGGGTGATACACTGAATATAGCGACCCTCCATTTCTTCGACATCATTTGTATGTAGTACAATTTGTTCTTTGCTGCAAAATATTTCGGCGTTCACCTCTTTATTCGATAAAATTTCTTCCCAGCGAATATTCTTCTGAGATCTTGAAACAGGAAATAGTCAATAGGATTCAGGTCTGGAGAATACGGCGAATATAGAAGCAATTCGTAGCCCAATACATGGATTTTTGTCATCGTTTTCACTGACTTGCGACATAGTGCATCGACTCAGTGAAGCAGCACTTTCTTTTTCTTCATATTCGGCTGTTTTTCAACGATTTCGTTCTTTGTCGACGTGTTTGTGTAGCTGCAATAATTCATCGGTCCCGCCGATGTGCTGTTCTTCAGACGGGTAATTGCTATACGAACTTTTTTATGGTGCTGCAATGGAACGTCTGCTCCAACGCCAGCGATTGGGGATTCGCGTTCACCTTCTCCTGGCGTTATGCTTTAACTGCCATTCAGCAGCCTGGAGAAGTGTTCCCTCCTTAATTTTTGGGCTTCGGTTACTAGATCACTTCGAAGGTTGCTTCAAGACTATGTTCCGGTCCAGAAACCGCATCTTTTCTTCGTGCTCACGCATTTCGGCCTCTCTCTTTTTCTGTCTGCAAATGCGTCTCGCTTCCCTCTTCAACTCTCGGTATCTATCCCATCCCGTACGTGTTGTGGTCGAGCGTAAACGTTGAAAGGTCACTCTGTTTTCTCTCCACTACGACATGACACCTTGTTCTTTTGCCTTTACCGAAAACCAATGATTTCGTATATAGCTGTACATAAGGAGCTTGAAATGCCGTTACACAGTTCGCTTATACCGAGTTGCTGATGAATGCTCTCAGAGAGCAGGAGTATAAATCGAGGCTTTCTGTTGTGATTGCAGCTTTTCAATATCGAACATTCCTTGTGCTTGTTGACGTGTGTTTTTTGCTGAAAAGCGGTAGGTGCATTTCTTGGCTGCAACAAGATAGTGGCCTGAGTCGATGTTAGCACCTTTCATGTCTAAAATATTGAGACGTATCTTACGTGTACTGTGTAAAGACAGCCAGATAGCCGGCGAAGTCGATCAGCCTAAATCAGTTAGAGGTCGTTTTTCATGGAAGCTGAATTTACTCTTAACCGTTGCCGTTTTCTTCATTTCATTGGTAGGGTTTTTTACGTAGCGGGTCCCAAACCCAGGGCACATTCTTGGGGAGGTATTGTTCACCTTTTTCGCTTTAGTGCGCCTACAAACGAATGTTGTTTAGCTACCAAGATTATACTTGATCTAAGACCGGAAGTCCTAAGCTGCTTTAGCCATGTGTAAAAGAATCGTTTCTGGTCATGCTCAAGTGAGTCGTGGTCAGAGCACTTTCCTCCGAATATCACAGTTCACCTACGCTGTATCCACGAATACAAGATAACCGTTCTAAGATTGCAGACCAATATGTGCAAGTTTATCAGTATCACTGAGGAAAACCATATGGGTGTATAACTGTACATACTGGAACATGAACTTAGAACCGATAAGGTTGAGATAGTAGTCAGGTGTATTATTGGTTAGGTTAGGTTATACTGGCCGGATGATATGCCGCACAAAGACCTAACGGTCCTTAGCAATGCCAGATGGATACACAATGTAATTTGAGCTGAGAGTAAAGGACTTAATATCTAATATTGGTATTTAATCTAGCCACTTGAACTCTGAAGCCCTTAGATAGCTAATACGAGTTCTAGATAACCCTGGAAAGAACCATAGAACGCTACAGCCGGGTGGTAGTTTGTTTTTGCATTATTCATTCGATGCTAGTAAATTGTAACCAGTCAGTGCGTAAAAAGCATGCGTGCTTCTGTTCTTCCGTCACACCCTGATGCATCTGTTATTCCGGAAACTTGTTTATAAAAAAAAAATATTTTTCCAAAATCATTGTCATATCTTAAACCTCTAAATTTGATATTTACGACGCTCCGCTAAGCAAAATTTTCTAAGATAAATTTATTGCCGCCTATTAAATGCTGCCATTTTTATTAACAACTATACCCTGCCACACCCACGCGTCCAATTTATGCCTCTCCCGGTGATTTGGGTAAAAAAGGGCAATTCAATCATCTTGAAAATTGATAACATGCCATTTACAAATGACATTCGACATCGAACTGTGCGGCTAGCGCCGTATAAAAAGTGATAACAAATGATATGATAATGAAACGCGCGCACACCAGAGCACAGCGCCGGCAAGCCGCAAGTAGATAGCAACAAATTGTGGCATGAAAAATGCGCAAACAAAGCAAAAAAGTGATATAATAAATACATACAAAAAAGTAAGTATAAAACTGAATTGGCCGTAGCAAATGAATAGCGCCCGGCAGCAAGTACCGTTAGCACAGTGTAAGCGCAAAGAAAAAACAGCGTATTCAAAATTTGAAGCACGTGCAACATTATTGAATACAAGCGATTGACCACAGCAATTGAATATGCGAGTACGAGCGCGTCGCTGCCTGAAAGTAGACCTCAGCGAAGGCAACTTGTTTGTATGTGTATATCTATGAGTGAATGTATATGCGCGCGCGTGTGTTTATGCTCATGCTGCGCGCTAATGCTCGGCGCCATATGCCGCCAGTGGGCAGCTGTTCGTGCGGCGTATTTTTCTCTCTTCTCTTCCCATTTTTGTGGGTTGCTGTACAACCTTCAATGCATTTCCTTTGATTTTTCGTTTCCACAATTTTTCAATAGCCATTTTTTATCGCTTCTCATTGGCAAATCAGCCAAACGCAGACAATTGATTTGTACGCACTGGGCTGCTGCATGTTTACTAGGTTTGCCACAATTGTTGGGTCATCATGCTAGCAGTTGGCTGCTGTAACCTCACGCGGCGTTTCACTCCACTGCACGTTTGGTCGTTGTGCTCAGCGCCTGGTTTTGTATGCTTTCATTGACCGCCTCCGCTACTTTTGCTTTGTTTGTTGTACGCTTTTTGTGGTTTACTATTGCTATTGTTGTTATCATTTTACGGAAATTGACGCTGGGAAAAACAACAGGATGCAAGTTAAGTGATTTGATACGTGATGTTTGTGCCTCACGGTTGTGGTTATGGGCGAGGAGCGCTAAGCTGGTTGCTAAAGTTGGTTATATAAGGCTATATTTTTACTTTAGGGTGGAGCTTCCAAAAACTTTCTAATATTTCCAGTTTCGACTACACAGAAGGAGATCAAAAAAAGTAGAATTAGTTTGATTTCATCCTAAATACTAACCGATATAATCTCTATAAGGTCAACCACAAAACCGAAAATACGAATACGATAAAATATGTTAGATGTGTGCTAAGGAAAGTATGAACCTTCATCAATATTTTTTCAACCAATTTTGTTAAAATATTTCATATCGAGGCGCTATCCGAAGCATTATTGAAAGTGTCTACAGCGTAGATGATCCAAATATAAAAATATAAACGAGAAGCAGTGTCTGCGACTTTAGACCTTCGACATGCTTTCAATAGCGCGAGCGCTTTGGAAAAAAATTCTGAATCCCCACCGAAAAATCAAGTCAAACAGAAATTACGTCAGGAGCAACACAAGGTCTATTTTAGACCCAGAGCAGTGAAACATTACTTGTGACGGAGTACTAAAACTTGGAATGCCCGGAGAATCATATTTAATGGGCTACGCGGACGACATAGCAGCAATAATCACAGCAGGAGCCACAGAGGCAGTCCTAAAAGTCCGAATTAAGCTGAATCAGGTCATGATACGGAGGC